AGCCTCACCACCTTCGTATGCATTATCTCTTTAACTTATTATGTATTAATATGTATATAGGACGCGACGTCGTACACACACACACACACATTCCTACAACCGGGGCACACACTAGTCTAAGAATATTAACTGGTAGGGTCGCAATAGTAAAAATCATAAGCGAATTACGTCAAGCGATATAGGTAGCGGTTGCATCATCGTGGGATTTAGTGTATTTCTGCTGCTGCTTTCCGCACCGTCCATTTCTTGTCGTACAGCATCCATACAGAGCTGATCGAGATATTCCGAAAGGCGTCGAATGGCTTTGTTGAATAATGCGAGCAACTGATTTGCTGGCACATCGAGCTCAACCACCAATGTATCGACGGTTTTATGCTGTAATCCGATAGCAAGCAAAATTGCTGCTTGCATACAGTTCAGTTTAACCTGAAAATAACATCATTAATACTGGGATATTCACATCGATTGCCCAGGCGATCTTCGTATTGTCGATATCTTCTTTCATATTCTTGATTTCTATCCTATTGATTCATTGAAAGATCCCAAAACTTCTCTGGCACAAAACTCTGTCTCTGTGTTTACAGCTAAGGGATGAAACAGGAACGAAATGGATAAAACAAACCGCTAAGGGATATTTCAACGAATATATGGGTTTGAATAAACAATTTTTACAAATTAACGGGCAAAATATTCTTGAAAAAACATACCCATTTAATAATTGGCTTTTATTACCCATTCCTGTCTTCTAATATTCTTGAAAAAAAAAAAAAAAGAAAAACGAAAAATCAACTAACTTTTTCATCAAATCGTTCATCGAAGTACAAGTAAGCAAGGGTTGGCAATAAATCGGTGATAAGATGATGATCAATCATATTCCGTGCATATTGCGATAATCGATGTAAATCGCTATTTGATAGAAATAATCCAATTTCTTTCCTCGTCAAAACTATAAATTATTAGCTTTCGGCTTTTTAAGCATTCCAAACAATGGGTGTGGGGATTTAACGTTAACGTTGTTAACTGGGATATATATACATATCGCGCAGGAAGCTATACCCAGGTCCTTCGGTCCTAAGCTATACCCCTACAATTGATAACCACTGCTTTCGATACCTCTTTCCCCCCCCCCCCCCCCCCCCCCCCCCCCCCC